AATGGCTCTCACCTTTTGGTTTGTTTGCTTGTTTGTTTGTGACTTATTCTTTCTAGCCGAATGGCCGTTTGATCTTTAGTATAGAGCCAACGAAGACATCTGTTGAGGGAAAGTCTAAAACCTGTTGGAAATGCTTTTTGTGACACGCTGGACAAGTTTCTGACTTGTATAAAAGACTTGATATTGGTGTTGAATACAATCCGAGTCTTGTTGTTTATGCTGGCTAAGGTGGTGTGCATTGCAAAAGATTTACAAACGGGGTTCAAGTTGATGAAATCGTTCGTATCTTGCTTGACTTTTCAATTCTAACTTTGACATCTTCAACCGTGCCATCCTCCTGTAGTTGAAATGATGCTGGCTGCTTAGGCTAGATAAGTGACGGAGATTATTGCTGGTTATTGTTTGCTGTCGCTGTGGTTTGTTGGCAATCTTCATCACCTCTGTCGTTACCTTCCGTATATTCGCCTGCACTCCTGTCTTTGCTGGCTGCTTCTTCAGCCAGTTTGGTAGAGATTTGGTTAGAGATCATGAACTGGCCATTAGATCGGATTCCAGTGGTTAAATACTCCGTGAGCTTTGCTTGTAACCCGAACGTCCTGTTTTGGAACATTAGTGGGTTTGTATTGCTGAAACTGTTCTCTCTGTGTGTGTGTGTGTCCACAACTTAGCAGTGATTGTTTTTCAATGCTCCTTTAAATCGCATCACTTAAATAAAAAGGCGAATTAAATAATTAAAGTATGTGTGAAATATTGAGTATATTTCAAAAAGACATTTTTGTATTTTAAGTAAATTAGATGCCATCTCTATTGTGACAAATGCTGATGATTCCATGCTGTATTTATTATAAGTAGTGTCTGTTTGTTTTGGAATAAAGCAGGTTGTACACAGGAAAAGACGTCCAGCGAAAAGAGTTACTCCGTTTGTCAGGAATACCATTCTCAATCAAGCGGTGTACAATCGCATATATATGTGCATAGGTAATTTTCTTATCAACAAAATGCATATTTCGAAGATTCGTCGTTAAAAATCGTAAATTTTAGATAAAAAACCCTTCGTTAATTGCACAAAAAAGCAAGTTGGGTAACACGTAATCTACTCATTGTTGCGGGTTGAGTAGAGCTCATCTAAAACTTAAAATTGAACAAAAGTCTAGTCAACAAACAGTGGTAATAAGGTATAAAGATTCAATAAGGGGTTGGGGAGAGAAAATGTTATACAGTTAAGAAAAAAACATTTAGAAAATCAAAACAAGTGATAATTCAGCGAAGAAACTCTTTTCAACGAATTTATCATCAAGCTGTACAGTCGTATATATATGGTTTTTCTAAAAAGTTATATCCAGTGAGGGAATTGAATCTTAGGTGTGAATGCATAAAATAATAATAATAGTAGTATGAAATGCAATTAAAACTAAAATGTTTGTGATTATACTCATAGTTAAATGTCAAGTGGCAAAGCAAATTAATGTCATATATCTACTAGCTGACCATTATTGTTCAATAACCTGAAGGACAAGATCCCACTGTTGACCAACTCTGTGTGCGTTTATCAATTCACCTCCTCTTGTGGAGCTAGGTATATCGGTCGTTCGACTCGAGTTTTGTCCAAGAGTGTGCAAGAACACTATCCTGCATGGCTACGAAAAGGTGGAAGTGGAGCAATAAGAAGCGCGATCATTGAACATCTCCTTGCAATAATTATCACCCTATCTTTATAGTCTCCGCACTTAAAGTCATCTACAAGGCAAACAGCAATTTACCTAAATCCCTACGTACCCGACTCATCTGTGGTATTGCTGAAGCCATCTTTGGCTATCGAAACAGAAAAGCCATATCTCTGTGTGTACAGAAAAAGTTCCTTCAACCCTCCAACTTTCATGGTCTTAATCCCTCTATGCTAAAATATGGTAATCCCCAATCATATTTTAGCTCTACCAATTTTTCATTTTTCATTTTGTCTATTCAATTTGTAGTCTCTTCCTTATTAAGTCAATTGTTACTAGTATTACTATTCTCACTTTGAACTGTCCCCGGTATTATTTCACCGGTATTGTTCCACTTGTCATTCTAAATCAATTCCTCTTTTTTACAACGATAAATTCTATGCTATTAAATTTCACAAAATAAATATTACGTAACGTTTTTGTTTGATTCGATTTGTCTACTAATCCTATAATTGCACATCCCTTTTCAAGTTCTATCCCTCCTATGAATTATTCTATATATGACATTAATCTGCTTTGCCACTTGACATTTAACTACGATTATAATCACAAACATTTATTTTTAATTGAACTTCATATTATTATTATTTTATGCATTCACACCTAAGATTCAATTCCCTCACCGGATATAACTTCTTTAAAAAAACCCATATATAAATGACTGTACAGCTTGATGATAAGTTCGTTGAAAAGAGTCTCTTCGCTGAATTATCACTTGTTTTGATTTTCTAAATGTTACAATGGAAATTTTCCATGAGTTAAGAGACAAACAAGCAAGAAAAAGACGAAACAATAGCTGCATATTTGGTGTTTTGAGAGAGGTCAGATCCATGGACGGAAACTTATCTTCTATCCAGATTTCAGGTTTTAATATGTGAATTGGCATTTCTTCTACGGGGTTCAAAGAAGTTTGATTAGTACTTACGGGAGTGAGACAAGGCTTCCTACTATCACCAATGTTCTTCCTGATTGCAGTAGACTGGATAATGCGACAGACAGACAGACAGCGGGCAATGAGGAAACAGGCATAAAATGGACTCACACAAAAGACTTGGAGGATCTGGACTTCGCCAGCGATGATATATGTCTGACTTCCCACAAACAGGAAGATATGCAAGTGAAAAGCAACAAGTCGGCCAAAGAAGAAGCATCAAAGATAGGACTTCCTTCAGGTGAACATAGATAAAACAGAGGTAGGTGATGAAGATACCTGGCCAACACCAACAGCCATAGCGACAACAACAGACAAAAATCCCTCAGCATAAATGGGAGGAACCTGAAAGAAACAACCTCCTTCACCTACCTACCTACCTACCTACCTACTACCTACCTACCTACCTACCTACCTACCTACCTACCTACCTACCTACCTACCTACCTACCTACCTACCTACCTACCTACCTACCTACCTACCTACCTACCTACCTACCTACCTACCTACCTACCTACCTACCTACCTACCTACCTACCTACCTACCTACCTACCTACCTACCTACCTACCTACCTACTACCTACCTACCGAACTGGGTGGAATCTTTTCAACTACATTTAGAACTGACGAGGATATCAAAGCAGCGAGGATCGGAAAAGGAAGACAAGCTTTCATCACTCTCAAATCTGTGTGGAAGTCAACAGCACTCACCATCAAAAATAACATCCGGATTTTCAACTCCAATGTGAAGTCAGTCAGTGCTACTCACTATACGGTTCAGAGACTTGGCCATCGCGTCATATAGAGCATCTCAAACTAACTCCAGACCTTCATCAACAGTTGTCTTCGCTCAATACCACTCAAGATCAGATGGTCGGCCAGAAAAGATCAACAACGGGGATTCCTGGCAGTGAGCGAACCAACACATCAGGAACCGATTGTGAAACAAATATGCAGGAAGAAATAGAGATGGGTTGGCTGGCCATATTCTGAGGAAACCATCAGGTGACATCACCAGACAAGCCATTGCTCGAGTGGAACCCGAGCGAAAGGGAAGCAGGTGGTGAGTTGGTCGTCAATGCAAGGGTGACATGGAGGAGGTCATGCGAGGAGGAGATGAAAGCATGTGGACAGACCTGGAGCGGGTTGAAAAAGTTGTAAGAAAACTGAAGGCAATGGAGGTGCGCAGCTGAAGCCCTATGTTCTTTTAGGAACTAAAGGATACAATAATAATAGTAATACGTATTCTATTACCTTGTGTACGGTATAGTTTGGTGTCCTGATTCGATCAGATGTTCCAGAATAGAGCTTCAGGGGGGAGGGGGACCTTTTTTCTATTTTATAAAACCATGACTGTGGGTAAATATTCGATGAAACGTTTGGATAGTTAACGCTGGGTACAGCGGAAATACCTAGCTCTACAAGAATAGGTGAATTGGTAGATGCACAATGATGGGGCTGGTCAACAGTGGTAGCTTATCCTTCACGTTGATCTGATACACTAGTTTCGTAGAGAAGGTTAGTCAGAGTTCATCCGCGAAGAAGGTTTTGCCTAATTGAGTGGGACAGGCGCGTTCTCAGTTATTCTCCTGATGAATCTTCATCAAATTATAGTTTCAGGTAAAGATAGTTTTTGGGAGCGGCAGTTTTGGTGGTTTAGGTTTCATAAATTTCATGATAAAACATTCTGGGTAGCCGTTTTCTAGGAAGATTCTCTTCAAGGTGTTTACCTGCTCTTCTCCAGTATGAAGTATCAAGTGCTCAGTATTCCTATCTTAGTGAACGGATCAGGTTCCGTTTTGTATATAGGGGCGACAAACTATGAAAGTTTGTAATTGGTTGTTCATTACACATCGGCTTTCTGTAGATGGATCTTCCATGATAGTTCCATCTTATTCACGTCTTGTCAATTGGACGTTCATCATTATTCATTCTGTATAACAAAACATATACCAGCGAGGAGCGGATCACATCCAGTTGTCTACTTCTGTAATGACAAAAGACAAGAGTCAGACAGCAAACAGATCGTTTATTGAGGAAACCAACAGATATTTATAGATTTTTTTGTGTACATTATTTTCAGAGAGGAGCAACGTCTTGCTGAAGGGTAATTCAGTACCGCTTGTGACCGTTTCTTAGAAAGTTAAGCCATATATATCTGCGGATCGTATTTGCATACGTTGACTCTGCTGTGATTAGTTGGTGAGTTCCTCGAGGTTAAGCTTTGTTTTGTTTGCTCTTTTTTTTCTCATGACCCCGATTCAGGACATAAATTGTTGTCTACAATGTTTTGGCTAGCAGATCGCACTCAACACACTTTTGTTTATTTTCCTTTAAATATAGAGAACCTTTATTGAAACACCCACACACCGACACCCACACCCACTTACATCAGTTCTCAACTGTGGGCAATGCTTGAAGAGCTCAGTGTACGTGAATTAAACAGTGTTCATACTTCTGGAGGCTGGACACCATCAAATAACAGGAGTAGATCATCACGTTGCCGTGAAAGTTACTGTTCTGACATAGATCTACTACCTCCATTGTATAAAACAGTAATAACTGACAATCGATTAAAGGGAAATAGTCAATCCGGTGATATGACTCCCGTTGTCGCCGTTAGCGATGATGATGCTGATGTTGATGGTGATAACGAAGAAAATCTTATGAGCTGGTTAATGAAACAATTCAAAGAAAATGGTTTAGACAGTCAGCATAATTTAACTCCAGATAATCTTGATAAAAGTAATGATGCATTTACAGATTGGAATGAAATCAACAAAACACCTCGTGTGGAAAATAATCTATCCAAAGATGATACAAGATCTTCAATTTCAAGTTTTCAAGGTATTCTTGATTCGTTAAAAGTCAAGGCATCAAATAGTTTTGTGATAATGAATAACAAATCGAGTCGTGATAGCAGAGAACGATGTGACAGTAGACAACAACAACAACAGCACTATTATCCACGAATGTATCCACCAGTCAGAGATTCATCAACGGAATCTAGACGATTGTGTGTGTGTGGCGCAAACAAATCAGAGGCATACATGACGGCAACCAGCTCAATGATAAGAAATTCAAAACATCATTGTAAACTTATGAACGATCTGTTTCGCCAGATAACTATAAAGCTGGTAAGTAGTTCTTCTTCTTCTTTTATATATATTTATATATTTCAGCTATAAGGCTCTTTACGGAAAATTCTTTTTCAGCTTTAGCTATATAATCGAATACTTTTGTGTAAATATGTTGTATGAATAAGGCATTTAGAAGACGAATTTCACAAGATGATGTATAGGTTTCGTGGTTTCTTTACAATCGCTTCACAAATAGTCTGCTTCATAAGAATAAAATTAGATGCATGGCGAAGTTAAACTTTCGACACCACTAACTACCAATCAGCGAATTATTCAATGAGATTCACGAACGATGTCAAATTATCCAATGAGGTTCACGAATATAGTTCAATGTTGTATAGCGCTTGATTCATTTCAAATGCGTGCCCTTACAAGATTACGGTTGCAATTCGAGGAGGATACTGTATTACAGTACTGCCTGGATTTAGGGTTGCTCCGGAAGGAGCGAACTTGTTCGTGTGGTGGTATCATGACTTTAAAAAGCTATAGCAGATCAATTGATGGATTTGTTCATCGTTGTGGTATATGTTTGAAGCGTTCTAGTATTAGAGAGGGTAAGCTGATTATTTTGATATTTCGTAGGGACTTTTTTCGCCAGGTCGCATCTGTCCTTAACGCAGATTTTATATATCTGCAACTAATGGGTGCTAAAACAGCCAGTGAGAGCAGCAGCAGCCGAGACAGAGAATAGCCTGGTGTCAACAGTCCAGTGGTACCAGTATTGCAGAAATATCGCATCATGGAAAATGGATAAAATTGTTGGGTGGAGAAGATGTTATCGTGCATATCGATGAGACAGTGCTGGTAAAGAAGCAATACAATCGCGGTCGCCAGCGAGCGAACAATATGTGGGTATTAGGTTTGTACGAAACCTCGCTTCTAAAGGGATTCGTGGAAAGGATTGCGGATAGAAAAGCAACCACTCTTATACCCATTATCACCAGACTTGTCAAAAGAGGGTCTATGATACATACGGACGAATGGAAGGGTTACAATTCCCTGTCATCTTTGGGATATATCCATCATAGAGTCAATCATTCAAGTGATTTTGTGGATCCCGATACGAGAACACATACAAATTCTATTGAAGGATTTTGGGGCGGGTTGAAAAATAGGATAAGAGCTATTAATGGATCTCAAAAGGAGCTAATTCATAGTCATTTAGATGAATATATGTACAGGATATGCTGTAACTTCTCCATTGACAGTCCCATGCTAAACTGGGAGATGTTTCTGTCTCATGTTCGAGAAAGATATCCCATGTAAATTTTTTATTATCTATTTTATGCTTTTTTTTCTATAAATATACATTTCTATTCATCATATATGCCTCTTTACTGTGATTGGTCCGTTCAAGGTCCCTTGCTGATTGGTAGTTAGTAGTGTCTAATGTTTAACTTTGCCAGATGCATGACTATTACTCGGTTATATAAAACAAAAGTACATACTAGAAAAGATTTGTAACTCAGGTGGATGATTTGCAATTAATTAATAGTGTTCTCTGAACTGGTTGGTTTGCTTGCGGAGCTTTCGTCGTCTTTCTGGACGGCATCTTCAGCGCAGTATTTAGCATAAAGTTAAATGATTTAAAAAAATCTCCATGAATGATGGATGATACAATTGCGTCTCCTGGTGGTGACCAGCCATCTTCACATATGTGTGTATTGACCGTTTTCTATTGTGATTGGGATTTTAAACTTTCTGGTCAACTGATTTTTGCTTTTTATTATAGTTGATATATTTCATTTATATTAACGTGTTTATTAATGGCGTTTTCATTTGAGTACCAGACTTCTAGGAATTCCCTGACTGCACATTTGGTGTTGTGTTTCCTCTGTCTAAGATTTTGATATTATCCCAATCAAATTGATGTCCATAATTATCTGTGTGTATTGATACTAAAGAATTTATATCATGTCTTTTCACGGCTGGCTTGTGTTCTTGGATTCTTATTCGAAGGGGACGCCCACTTCGACAGCCGATGTAATGTTTGTTACAGTTCATACATCCAATTTATTTTGTAAATGGTGTTAATTTTATCTCCTTATATATTTTGGTTTGCATAAGATCGAATTAAGCGATTCGGCTGGCTGGTTTGTGTGCTACATCTATCTATATCAAACGATTTCATTATTCTAGCCGTTATATTTCAGAGATATTTCTGATGTATGGTAGGATGAATTTCTTTTTGGTCTTTGGTGATGGTTCTTTGTTGGTGCTTTGATTCGACTTTAAACACTTTTTGATGAAATTTTTTGGATAACCATTTTTCTTGAAGACCGTTTGTAAGTATTTTTCTTCCATTCTTTTCAACTCTGGTGTGCTACAATGTGTTTGAACACTTTTGTGAACAATGTCTGCACACAGTTTCTTTTGTGAGTGAGTAATTGGGATTATTGCTAGAATAGTTGAGTATTTGATCTGTGTGCGTTGCTCAGAGAACAATATTAATTGCAAAAAGTACATACTGTGCTAATGACTAATCATATTTAAACACGTCAAGTAGTCAGTCCATTGGTAGGCAAAGGAAGGTTGAAGTCTATTGATTTTTGACTGTACACATAGTTTATGATGCGTGTGATTAAATCCCCGAAGAGTGCTTCCATCATCTTTAATAATAACCAACCAGCTGTGAATTAGAGTTATGCGATAAAATAATTGTGAAACAGTCATGAATATTGATTTTGTGACCTGATATGAATAAGTGCTTTACAATGGATGATGATGGATTTCTCTTCAGATTAATAATTGCATTGGGATTCTCTATGCATCTTAATAACCATTTTGGAAGATGTTCTTTTCGACGACCACATTGGAAGATTCTATTTGTTCTACCCATACAGGTGTCAATGTAGTGCTGAATTTTTTTTTTATAAATTACTTATCTTCGCGGGGTAAATCATTCTTACCTTAGCAAAATTCTTATGTTTTGACAGGCACACTCACTACTCCTGCCTGATTTACTAGTTTGACTCACCCATGTCACAGTGATTTCAAAGGTATATTTTGTAAATCATATTATTATTTTGTTTAACCTACAGTGTCCTTTAGCCTACAGAGCTTATGTCTGTACGGCATTTATCAACTTTGAACCTGGTTGATGAGCGAAAGGTTGGCTGTGGATCTGAGTGTGACACAGAAGCGATCAGTTGAGGAGATGACAGCAGATATATATAGAGGATCCTGTAGTGACACAACTAAGACTGAAAAGAGAACTAGACAGAGTACAGATGTTCTTTCTGTTGAAGACGTGTGTTCCACTCATAAACCTAAAGAAAGAAATAATCTTGTTGACAAAGTAATCTACACTTTTCTTACATAAGCAATCTATTATCACTAAACGAGTACTGAAGACGAGTAGTCAGTCTTTAAGGCTAAATGATCTCTTATTTTTTATTCCTTCACGTTCCCAGTGGAACATAGGGATTCAAGCTAGAGGCCTGAAGTTACTGTAGTAGTGTTTATTTTTACAGGATGGGATTGCTAGCCTTATGCCCAACCTTCCCTCTTTACCAGTATTATTACTGGCTTAGCGAGGTAGAGGAGTGCGTCGGTGGCCGGGGATCGAACCCCTGACTATATGCGTGGTTGGCGAGCGTCCTAACCGATGTACCAACGGCGCACTAAGTGATCTTTACATCCAGCTTATCGTAAGACAAAATCAGTTAGCTGTCACTGTACTGGAACAGGCTGGATTCAGGAGTAACAAGTCACACATCGATCAAATCGCAATACTACTGATCGTCACCGAACAGAGTTTGGAATGTCAGTCACCTCTCTACCTCTACCTCAACTTCACTGACTTTGAAAAGGACTTTGACAGCGCAGCGTCAAACTAGAGGTGATTTGGAAACTACTTCGGTACTATGGGATGCCGCCAATAAGTAAACACCTCAGCCACCCAGCAGTTGTGCGATAATGCTACATGTCAAATAACTCACAGAATCATTCGAAATGAAGACAGAAGTAAGACAAGGCTGGCCGGCTGGCTGGTTGCCTATTACTAGCTCCAATGATTAATTTCCTGACTGTGATAGACTGACTGGATATTGCGACAGACACACAGCGGCCAACGATGAGACAGGCGTAAAATGGACCCACACGAAAACAACTTGGAGGATCCGGATCGGGATTCCCATGACGACGTATGTTGATTTCCCACAAACTGAAACATGATGTGCAAGTGGAAAGCAACAAGTTGATGGTAGAAGAGGTATCTAGAGAAGATACGATTTCAGGTGAACATGGAGGAAGCAGAGATGATGATGAAGATTCCTGGCTGACAGCAACACCGACAGCCACAACCACAGCGATAGCAGCATCAACAACAGACAACAACAATCAGCCAGCATAAATGGGAGGAATCGGAAAGAAACAACCTCTTTCACCTACCCACCTATCTACCTGGGAAGCATCGTTTCATCTTCAATGTGAAGTCACTACTACTCACTACTCAGTATTCTGATCAGAGAGAGACTTGTCGCCTCACGAAGGCCACTTCAAACAAACACCACACCTTCATCAACAACTGTCTCCGCTCAGTAGTCAAGATCAGATGAAGAGAAAACATCAGGAGCAGGCAAGATTCTCTGGCAGCGAACCAATCAGGAGCTGTTTGTGCAAGAAATAAGCAGGAAGAGATGAAGGTGGATTGGATTGGTTTGTGTCCATACTCTGAGAAAACAAGTCATCAATTGAGTGACATCACACGCCTGGCTCTCTCTCTGTCGAGTGGACCCGGCATGGGAAGCGGTGCGTTAGTTAGTCGTGATCGTTCGTGCGAGAGTGACATGGAGGAGCAGGAGGAGGAGGAGGCAGCGGAGGAGGCGGCGGAGGAGGAGTTGATGCGAAGGCGGGATGAAAGCGTGTGGGAAGACGTGGAGCCAGGTGAGAATACGTTGTCGGAGAACTCTGAAAGCAAAGTAGGCGTGCAGTCGAAGTCCTATGTTCCACTAGGAATTAAAAGAAACAATAATAATATAATAATCACCACTTTT